TCTTAGATTGAAAAAGATTGAGATCTGTTGTTGTTAGATTTGCTACTTGGGCTGCATAATCTAGTTGTGCTGGTATGATCCAGTGGAATGCTTGTCTTGTGATAGACCCATTCCAATCTTTTTGACTTGAAATGGCATTGGTGAAATTGTGTATCTTTTCTTTGAGTTTGGCTTTGGTTAAAGTTGATGCTGATTTGCCGGAAAGATAGATGCTTAAGTAGCGAATTGCTTCATGATGAGGTTTGGCCTTAATTGATTTATTTTCAACGTATAGTTCTTGATCACGGAGTGGACTTCTGGAGCTGAGATTTGTGATGAGATCAGTTTTTTTCTTGTTGCATTTGATAGAGTTAAGCTTTAGAAAAGAGCAGAAAATATCTGTAACATTCTGGAGGGAACTGAGAGAGCCACTTAGTAGGGTGACGTCATCCATGTAGGCAAGAATTTTTGAGTATGGTGAAGTGAGACTGGTGATTTGAGTAACCATTGGGTCATAAAAAATAGTCCAGAGGAGTGGAGCTAGGGTTTCGCCTTGATCAATTCCATTACTAGTATTGAGGGGATCAGTTAATCTGTAGTATGATATTATTTGAAGTTGTATTCAAATTATTTTTTTTCAATTGCAAAAATACAAGTAGTATATAGTTTTATTAAAATATAAATACCCAATTATATAACTACAAGATTTATTTAAGTTAATTTATACTTCCATATATAGCTTTATTTAATTATACAAGTTTATTATTATAGAAATAAATCTATATATGGAGTAAAATTTTTAAAAAAATATATATTACCACTAATTTATAAACTATCTAATTTAATATAAACCCTAGTAATTGTTATTAGAAACATATACCTTTCAAGATTAATTAGAATACTTAAATAACTTATTTAATACTTTTCACTTAATATCTCAAAGAAGATATTATATCTGTTATTATTATTTGTAACTTTAGATTTTCCTTTTCATTAGATTCTCTTCTTTTAAGCAAGTATTGAATTGAAATAGTCTTAAGCTAGAGTATTCTTTGTATTACAAAGTCTGTTGTATCAAAGGATTTGTAAACTTTTATAAGAATAAGATTATTTAAAGATTTTTTTTTTATAAAATATATTATTAAAATTTTTTTAAATTTAAATTTATTATCTAAAAAAAATAATTAACTAAAACTTTAATTATTTTTTTAATATAAATTTAATATGGATAGAAATTGTAATTTTTAGATAAAAAACAATAATTTAAATATTATTTTTATTTGTTACATAATAAAAATTTATAAATATATTTTTATAATCTAAAGAAAAAAAATTTTTTTTTTTCAATTGGCTAAGGACATTAGATGCAAGACATTTATTAAACATATATTTTATCATTATTACATCAAACATCTTTACAAAGTAGGCTATTGCTATTCTAAATACAAATTAATATTACTTGATGATTACTATTTCCAGTAACCCTGGTATCTCCTAAACCAATTATGACATATCCAGCTATATGAAATTTTAAACATCAAGTAGATAATCCACATGCCAGGTGGGATATATATAGGGGTGGAAATCCTACTACTAGTTTAAACCACCTTCCTATTAGGTCTTGTCGCGACTGCATCCATTATAAATAAGGCACATTATAGAATATTATTATAGAGATTACAGTAACTCCAATATTCAAGTTACTGTTATCACCGATCCTCAGGATGTATTACTAGCATAACATAGTACTACCGTTTTTACCACCTGTGGAACTGACATCCTTGCTTGAATTCTGATTTAATCTTGTAGATCCTCACTAGATGCACTTGGCTTAACGATTTTTGTTTAGTATAACTAATTTCTTTTTTGAAATTGTGTGATGAAGTCTACTATCGCCAGTTTGGGTTAGAGTAGACTTTTACCAGAGTTAGACCAGAAGTCTTTCCTTATGCAACCTTCTGTACTTCGACCTGTTTCAGCTCATGATTGTTAGAAAGATCAGAGGTTCCATATCTAAAGAAAATTTTTATTCAAACACTGTTTATAAAATAACTTATTAAAATTTTTTATAATAATTTTTTTAAATAATAATTTTTAAAATAATTTTTAACTTATAAATAAATTTTACTTCTTTAAAATTAAAATAAAATAAAAATTAAATTAATACATATTTTTTAATAAAATTTATTTTTCTTGCATTCTAAAGAATATTTTTGTAAAATTTCATAAAATTTAAATAATTATTTATTAAATTATAATTTAAAATATTAATTGAAAAAAATGTGTTTTTTTTTTGTTTTGAACTGTATATAAAAACTGATAAACTTATATACAAATAAAATTTTTGTATTTTATCTTGTAAATATTAAATTAAAGACATATATTTGGAGATTTAAAAGTATTATCCACTGTACTATTAACTTACAGGTCTAATTATTAAAATTATTTTAATATATAAATTAATTAATAAAACTTTAAAATATTTTTGATTTAATATTAAGTTATTTAATTTTTAATAAAACTTGACAAAAAAATTAATTATTATTAAATATAATATTTTTTAGAAAAGCTTTCTCAATAGGTAAATATTATTTTTTATCTGATATTATATATACCAAAATATATATTATGAAAAAAACAATATTTCTTGAATACATTGTATATAACAAGTTAAATATTAGCATGCCTACTTAATAATATTAGCTAATATTGAAAAAAATTTAAATAAAATTAAATAAAATTAAGTAATAGCTATATATATTAACTAGAAAAATTTTGTGAAATTTTTTTATTTTTTGAATATGAAATAATTGAAAAAAATAAATAAATATAATTAAAACTAAAACTAAATCAAATAAATTATAAAATCTATAAATAGAAAACCAATTATTTTTTTAAAAGAATTTTTAAATAAATTTATTATTTTATTTCTTTAGTTCTTTTATTATCATAAATAATAAAATATATAGTATATAATATTGTTTGTTATTATAATTATTATTGTAATTGTAATTGTGATTTTTATTATTGTATTAATAAACTAATTTAAACTAGTTTTGTTTATTTTATTAGAAATTTTATTTGAATATATATTTTGAAAAATATTTGATTTAGTAAATATAATAGCATTAATATAAATAGTTTTTATAATATAATAGAGATAAAAAAAAATGCAAAAGTACAAAAAAAAGAAAATCGATTTAAGTCTTTTCTTATGTAATTGAAAAATAAGCGAAACTTGAAAACTTGGGTAGATTTCAATCAAAGGTTTCATTTTATTATATCAATTATCTAAAGATTATAAGTTTTTGAATCATTATTTACTTGTAATAAAAAAAGTAAACTATTTTTTCTTGTATAAAATTATAATAAAAAGAAAATTTTTAATAATATAAATATAATCAGAAAAAAGTTTTATTAAAAAATACTTAATAAATATAATATTACTTTATTAATAATTTAATAATAATTTTATAAAAATTATTAATTAAAATCAATATATATACTATATATATATATACTGTATACTGTATATTAAAAATATTAAAAAAATTGTTTTATCAAAATTAAGTATATAAAAATCAAATAAAAAATCATATTTTTAATTATAAAATTTATTTTATTTAAAAAAAAAATTTTTTTTAAAAAAATTTTCATATAAAAATTCTATTAAATAATAATTATGGAATTTATTTTATTTAAAAAAAAATTTTTTTAAAAATTTTTCATATAAAAATTCTATTAAATAATAATTATGGAATTTAATATTACATTGTGTATTATGAAGGATAATAATAATAATAATAATAAACTTTTTTTTTATCTGATATTGATCCTGTATAAAATACGGTGTAACAATTCCGCAAAAAAAATAAAAATAAAATAAGCACGAAAACCACGGCTTTTGAATTCCGCAATGCTTCCGAACCAATATTTCGATTGAACTGGTCACTTTGATGGTAAAACCGTTACATACTTGTTTTAATACTGTAGACCAATTATAGACTAATGCAGTATGTAATCTATTAATTTTGTCAAATGCTATTCAATTATGGTTATTATACTGTATGATCCATCGGTTCGCCGAGAGTTGAATTGTAAAACTTATTATTAACCCTGATCGCTTAGCGGAATGGTTGTGTTTCTGTAATTATTTCATTTTTGTCTATCCTTTTACTTTTTAGTCCAAAAAAAAATTCCGAAGGTTTTTTCTAACACGAGACTTTCGGAGACGAAGTCGCACCATGAGAGAAAATCAAACGGTGCCCGAATATTTAATATGATAAATATGAGAACAAGAGCTTCCTTTTTGGCCAGATAAGGGACGACAGCACAAATATTGAGATGAATTGTTTATATTTGATAATACCGTACTATTACCGAAATGCTAAATTTTGGATAAAGGAGTTATATAACGATGAAACGTTAAAATATTAGGTCATTGATCAAGTGCATATCTTCAACGCTTGAATTAATCTACAATTTCAGGCGCTTGTAAACAAGCGACCAACATTACTGGTACTAATGTAGGGTATAAAGGCTTGGGGAATTGTCTAATCTGAATTTCAATGCCTAACTTGGTTTAGGATTCAATACACCAAATACGTAAATACGGTCAGTAACACCTAAATAATTTCATCACAATAAAGTACAAGCTCATTTAAATACTAAATGTACGCATAAAATTCATATCAATATTATGACTATGTAATACGAACTTAATAGGAGAATTTAATACAGTATTATTATTATATTTCTTTGAGGACTATGAGTGGGATTGGTTTAGTGGAATATATTTTTGATGTTGATTTTCCTAATGGAAACTTCCGTCACTTCTTTTTCAAATGAATTTTTGCAAAGTCGGAAGCCTGATTCAAGAATTCTTATAATAGAGAAGAAATTTTTTAGTGTGATTTCATCGCTGTCGCTCTTTCACAATACTTCTCAAGGCAGGCAAGCGAAGGAGATATACATAAATACGCTCAATTAACTTTCTTTAAAGACGTCTAGTGCGTAAAATAATGCGGGTTCCATTGTGGAATCCTCTAGCAACAACATTCTTTGGTAACATATGTTCAAAGCTATTCATCATATTAGTTTTGTGGTGCTTGGTTCCTGGTGATAGTAGCAGAAATTTCTTTAATGTAGTCAATTCATTAATCGTGGATTCTGATGCAACGAGAAACAGTATAGATCCAAGTTTCGAGGATATTAAAACGAGGAGAGAGAGAATTAATTTGAAGGGAATTTGTTATGCAGGTAAAAAATTTTTATCGATGCTTCATATAACCGTTATCTTGTCTTAATCCATATTCGATTACAGATAACTACTCCTCCAAATGTCATATTGCTTGCACACGTGTCTCATTACCTTGCACTATTTCATCATCAAGCTCCTCATACATCCCTGGCGGAAAACCTCTCATAGTAAAAATTGATATCGATGAGGACATCGACGGTATGATGGTCTATGCGGTCCACAGTCACAACGTGAATATAAAAGTAGGTAGTTGGTCGCGGACTAATAAAAGTGATTATATGATTTATGATGGTAAGTGAGACTACCTTTTCGAAAATCTATAATGCATCACGTGATAACTTTCTTTAAACTTCTTTAAAGAATGCACTGGTCACCGCCCTGGAAAAGATCAAACGTTAATTTCCCATGAAAGAATCCATCAAAACACCAAACTCACGTGGTTTCCTCCAAGTAACTCGAAAGGAAGCATTATTTTTCGAGTGCTTTTGGTGAGATTATCATCTCGGGCTGGATATGACATACACGAAAAACATGTCAGGGTTTCTATTCGCTCGACCACAAATACCACTATTACAACTACAGGCTCTAGCGTATCTCAAACAGGCAGTCATACGATAAGTAGTACAAGTAGCGAAAGTAGCAGTACAAGTAGTACAAGTAGTACAAGCAGTGAAAGCAGTGAAAGTAGTAGTGCAAGTAGTGCAAGTAGTGATGCAAGCGGTAATGTAGGTGGTAACACAGGTAGTAGCACTCCATTATCTGAACCGACAAATGATTCTTGTGACTACGTTTATGGTGCACCAACGCCACAACCTTTGAGTTGTAGTGCCGCCATAGGGAGGATTGATGAGGTGATGAAAGGAATGATGGGTATTTGCATGCTATCGGTTCTGGTTAACTTTATTAGATGGTAATGTTATTTTTACGGTAAATGTTAAATTTTTGATTGATGAGATTTCATTCAATCAACTGGGTCAAATTTAGATATTTAGATTTTTTTACTCGGTCATAATAAATCCGTGAAAAAAATATACAGTATCTTGGTTATATACTGTAAAATATTATATTTGTAAAACAACTTTTTTTCAATGATGCATTGATATTATAAAATCAATACGTTGATTTTTTTAAAAATATCCACAAACGCTATATCTGTAATATAATTTTTTAGATCATATAAATTTTTTTATTAAAACATATATTTCAATAATTTATATTTTTATCAAAATAATACTTTATCGAAATTAATTTGATTTAATAAAATTTGAAAATTAAAATTCTTTCATATTATTTTATTTTTGTTTAGTAGATAAACCATATTTCTTTGTTTATTTGTATATTATAAAATGTATATCTTTTTAAAAAAACAATATCTTTTATATACAATTGTAATAAGTTTAATATTAGCTTGCTTACAATAATTATTTGATTAATATTAAGAAAAAAAAAGTTTTATTTTTTTTTATCATAAAAGGCATTAAATATAAAATTTTATTAATATATTCCTTAAATAATAGGATATTTTTTTAATAACTTTTAAAATTTTTTAATTAAAAAGTTATTTCTTGCTTATTTTTTTAAATAATTAAAATATTTTTCTAAAAATTTATATAATACTAGGGAACAGGTACTGTTGGAATGTCCGAAGCGTGTTTATCTATTCTATTTTTTGCAAAACACCACCGTTAAATGCTATTATTTACGTTAAGGCATAAATTTTTTAATTTATAAATACATTTTTTTAACTTCTGATAATAAATTACCACACGCATATTTTTGATTGGTCAGCGCATATATAACGTTGTCTAGTTATACTTGAGAAGTTATAGATAATAATCTCCTTTCTTCTGTAAGCCTTTCTTGTAGTCTTTTGCAAGATTTGATACGAAAAAGTCTTTCAAGAGAAAATAGGTTAAAAAGTATATTTTTGAGAGCACAAACACGAGATATTGCCACAAATGAGAGGCCAGCGGCAAATTCTTTTTTTCCAAGCTCTATAACAGCCTTTTTCACCATCAAACCCTGACTCTTGTGCACTGTGATTGCCTATGCGAGACAAATAGGGAATTGTAAATGAGAACAAGAACCTTTTCTACCTTCCCAGCTACATTTAACTGGTGCAATTGGGACAAGTCTTTTATCATCACTAGTAATTAAAGCAGGACCAGAATAACTGTCAAACTCCACCAAGATCGCAACAGGAAGAGAAGGCGGAGGTTGATTTTTGTGGAAAATGATTTCATGAACAATACCTACTGAACCATTAACCAAACCAACCTCAGTCCATAAATTGGATCTAAGCATAACCTTCGAACCTCTTGCTAACAGTAAGTATGGCTCAAAGCCTTTTGCCAAATCTGAATTGGTCATACGAGCCTCACTACCACCAGTATGGACGGCATCAATTCTAGCAATGGAGGAGTTTAAGGATCTGAGTTTATTGAGATTATACTCTTCAATATCGGTTCTATAGGGCATAATGTATGTAGCATCAGAAAAACGAACATGATCTGAGGAGGCCAAAACATTTGAGGCATTAGAAAATCGCATGGCAAGCAATTCCCAATCTTTTTTAGTGGATTCGCCATTACGTAAACGTAATAAGAGATCTCTAAATTTGCACTGCTCTTCAGAATCTCCCTATTGACGTTGGATAATAGCAAGATGATAGACTTCACGAAATTGTTGATAAATTGCAATAGCATCATTCGACAGGGAATCTTTCCGAGAATTTATTGAGTACATTGGTTCATCACGTACGGGCAGAAGTTGTCCAAAGTCTCCAATAAGAATTACAGATCTGCCACCAAAGACTTGATTTCCACAATTTGGAAAAGCTTGACGAAGGCACAGGTCAATCAAGGCAAGCATGCGACATCCGACCATACTCTTTTCGTCAATGATGAAATAGTAGATACCATGTAACTTACTTTGCAATTTTTTCGGATTTTCTTTGGAAATATCAAGACTCTTGGAAGAGGTCAAAATGAAAAGGGATGAATGAATTGTTGTGCCGTGAATATTGAAAGCTGCAATACCAGTCGGAGCAAGTAGCATAACGGGTGAAACTTTATCACTGTGTTTACGTGCAATTTCACGAAGTCGGGATTGGATCATCATAATTAAGTATGATTTTCCTGTACCTGCCGTTCCTAGCACTATAAGCCTGATCGGATCAACGGAATCAGGAACAGTAAGTAATTTAGTATAATGAGATTCAATTCGCTTGAATACTATTATTTGATTTTCATTTAACGAACTAGGATCTATCGCACATTCAGAAATGACAAAATCAGTTGATTCGCGGGCTCGCTATATAAATTTAGGATCGACAGCATAAATGAGATCAGGGCAATGGATCTTAAAGTAACAACCCAGTCATAGTTTTTGTCAATAATGCGGAAACCCAAATCGGAAGAAATATCAACCATAACATTAGGTATCATATCCGAAAGAATCATCCAATCTGGTTGTATATTAGCTTCATGTTCGAAATCATCATACTCATCAAAATCCTGATTGCTTTCGGCATCTTCGATATCATCTTCTAGGGTCTCTGTAGGTGGACCAAGCAAATCAAAAGGAGCATTTTCGATTATTTCAAGGTAACGGTCAAAGAGATCACTCCAAGAGATACTATTATTATTAGTCAATATACTAAGATCATGATGACTAACATGAAGAAGAACTTTAACTCGACAATAATCCTCACATTGAAGATCATTACGAAGAGATGAAGGACATGGTCAGATACGGACAATATTTTCACGTTCACAGCGTTTTCATTGACCTTTACAATAACGGAATTTCAGATAAAGTTGAAAAAGTGAAAGGTCTTCAAGTTCAGTGGGACGATCCCAATACCTCTGGAGAGATGATCGTACAGTTAGACCAATTTCCTCGTTTGACACATAAGATGAAAATGGAGTGGTTCCAGAACTACAAAGCCAATGAGGAGCATATTTATTAAGGTTCAAAGAAACAAACTGATGGCTGGACCGATAAAGAGGAAGGCCAAGAAGCATATGACACATCTCTTGAGCAGAAATATCATGCTCTGCAACAGTTTGGAGCAGCAAACCTTGAATTACGCTAAGGGACGAATTACTCGGATTGCTCTTATTGATAATTGTGGATAACATATCAAAGAATGATGCAGAGCGAGGCTTTGACTTACTCGCATATTTGGAAATGTAACGTAAAGCAATATTTATGGTAAGGATAGGTTTCAGATCCACATTAGCATGCCAACCTTGAAGCTGCAAACGGTTGTGTGGATTAATAAGTGGATCATTTCTTGCAGTAATTAGATCGGGTTGACCGTTATCATCTCACAAATACATGACCTTGGAGATATCTTTCGGATAACCAAACCTACAAGATTGACGTCCTGAATGATCAACTCGAAGACAATAAGAAGAGCTACATTGGGTATGACGTTGCAGTTTATTAACCAATTCAATATAATCCTGCAAGTCATAAAGTAACTCATCGGAAACTTTCTGACAGGGATGACGATCAGGGATCGGCGCGTCAAGACCAGGATTAATTGTAGTTACCAAAGAATCCAGGTAATGTATCACATCGGTCATTAAATCTTCATTATTTTTCATTCTATTCCAATCAATAATAGGGGCATCTTTCCCCTTAGCAATACCATGTATATAAGGACTTCCACGGTGTTGCCACTTGAAACGGTATCAATAATCTTCAAGGTTTTATCTAGGAACCAATACCTTTTCTAAAAATATAGTAAAGCGTCTTTCAAAAAACCAAGCAGTAATATGTAGATTATTAATTAAATTCCGTCGCCTGGAGATGATGGCTTCCTGTTCAGACAACGTAAACAGAGAATCACCATGTGGCATCAGATTGTGCAGTTCAGGCCAATGAAGATCGGCGGCACTGAAAGTAAAAAATACCATTCCCTGAGGACCCAACTGCTTGATCATATCAAATAATTCAGAACGACGCCTGTACCAAAATTGACGAGAGCCACGCAATCCCTCACCATAATGTATAATCTTATTGGCCATAAGACTATCATCATTAAGCATACTACTCAAATCCTCAATGGTATATTGCTGCCCACTTAAATTCTGCTTCACATACACTTTACCTTCCTGTAGAGCTCTCCAGCGCATCTGCGAGTTCAAAGCAAAATAACGCCAACGAATATGACGAGCAAAGCGACCATCCTTATACTTAAGTAAATGTGAAAAATATTCAGCCAGATTTACATCCTTAACATGTTCTGAACGTAAATCAGCATCACCAGTCAGATACAAAGTCGGAAAGGCACGAGCAATATAGCCAGGAGTTCTAAATTCATTTATGGGTACACCATCTATAGTCGGCCACATAACAGGGTCATTATTAGCCTGCATTCTAGTCAAAGTATTGGTAATAGCGGACTCTTTATCAGGAGTTGGAAAAGGAACAGGAACGAAATTGCTAATTAAAGAATTATCAAGGACATCAGTGTCATTATCATCGAAGCTATTATCTTTATGATCTAGTTGTGGAATCCGATCTATAATTGAATTGTCTTCAGGTAATGTTCTCAAAACTTCCTCATCAATAACAATATTTGAATAATAATGATTATGATGCTTTAACCAATAAAGAGCACGTGATACCACGGAGCGATGCACATTGAAATCTTTAAATATTCTACCATCAGAAGAGCAACGGCATATAACAAGAACATCAAGTGACGACGGAGAGTGTGGTAATCGTGTAACAAACCCTTGTACGTCTTGAGGAAAATTGATAACATTACCACGATAGGCATATTAACCACCACGAAGAGAATACACGGAGACGATTGGAAAAATCTGAGCTATCAGCATCTCTTCTATCTATGTTAAACCTTGCAATTGTTCAGGTACATCTCCAGGATCCATGTTATTTCTTGCTGAGAATTTATTGTCACCTTTTTCTGAGTAACATCGATGACATTTACCTCGGACAATCTGGAGGGATGGAAAAC